TATTACATGGTATACCTTAAATGTACCAATAAAATTAATTTTTTTTAAAAAAAACTCACAAATGGTGTAGTCGGGACAGCTTCTCCACGCCCAGGGTAGACAGGAAGCACCTCTCCATGCCGACCTTGACTCCTTGCTCCAGCCCTGTGCTGCCATTTGCTGTTGTCTCCATGACTGACCAATGCTTCCTCTTCCTTCTCCCCACATCTTCTCTAAACAAAACCTTCCCAATCCATGAGCAAGGGAAGGTGCCTTATCCTCAGCAGATGACCTAGAAAATCCTAAGATTCAATGCTTCTCTTGGCTCTAGAGGTCAGGACCAAAATGGCACTGATTTCTATGCAGTCCAATACTTCAAACCACAAGGGTACTGCTGGGTACAGCAGTCCTCAGTGGATTAACATATCCTTGAGCTCTCTTCTACCCCCGGCCCATTGGCCTTCACCCTTGGCACAGCAGCTCCAAAAACATCCTTATAATGTATTATCTCTTCTTTCACAACTAATTCTAGTGCTTCCCGTAGTGGTACCTCTGGCAATGAGTGAGACTGTTTTATTTCTGTGGATTTTTTTCTCTTCTGGTTTAAGAAGACAGGAGAGCGCTTAGTATGTCCATTCACAGATGAATGGATAAAGAAAATGTGGTATTTATACTCAGTGGAGTACTACTATGCCATAAAGGATAAACTTGAGTTATTTGTAGAAAAATGTATGCACTTTGAGATCATGTTAAGTAAATCAGATATACAAGTTTAAAAACACATGGTTTCTCTTATATGAAATACTCTCTATATAAATAAAGTGTGAAATAAAATAAATAGTAGGAAAAAAGAAAGAAAAGTTATTGTTAGCCAGCATGGACAATGTATCTAAAAGCATACCTTGATTTAATATAATTGTCTTAAGCGTTTTATATATTTTTTTACCTATTAGTCCGGTAGTTAACCAGTATATATGATAACTAATCTTATGACTTATGAGATAATTAACATGATGCTGGCTGTATTAGTATTTGCAAAAGAGACGGATGTAATGCAGGACACAGGAATCTTCAATATTAGCATACAATCTTCACCCACAGAGTCAAATGTACAAAAGGGCGAGAAATCAGTTCACGGGCTCGAGATCCACAGAATCCAGCCAAGGGCTTGCAGCCCACCTACAGCAATGTCCCTCGCAAGTCTGTAACAGAAGGCCAAAGGGACTGCGATGGGAGACCAGAGGATCTGCCCTGCAAAGGCCAAGGGGCAGTGCTAGAGGCTAGGAAGTCTAAGCAAGCAGGCCGAAAGGCAGGAGCTGAACCTGAAGTGTCTGTTTGAAAAGCCAGGAGACGAAGCCCAAGGCAAAGGCAAAGATGGAGCTCCTTGAAAACAGGTGAAGACTCTCTAAGGAAAACCAGCGGAACGAAGCTCTATCAAGGAAGATCAGCAAGAAATTCTCCCCTCCTATTCTCCTTTTATACCATTCTGACAACACTCCTCCTAAGCGGGTCTTCCACGTGCAGAACCAGGCTGACTCAGTTCAGCTGGGCATTCCCGCTCTAGCTGACCATTAATTAACCACAACACTGGCAAAATAGAAGTAGGGTGGAGGAAAGGGGAAATTAGAATTGAGGTGTGTGTGTACAATTCCTTACCATGAATGTAATCACTGTATACTGCAAACATGTACTAATAAAAATTTTTTAAATGGGCAAGTGAAATCAATTGGTACGGGCAGCAGAAGTGACCAATTCATTTCACGTGCCCACTGTTTAATCTTCTGGATTTCTGTTTGCTACCTTTTCACAGACTGTAATTTTTTGCTAAATCGGTCATTCATGTTTTGTATCATTATGTTTATCTCAGCTAGCTTGTTTTTTGTGTCTTCTATAAACTTGCTGACCATTTTGTTTAAGTCCACTATCTATTCAGTTATATCTTCTTTGAGCTCACTAAGCACTGTATTCATCAATTATTTCCTCTTTTATCACTTTGGATAATTCATCTGTGTGGTTTTTTTATTTCCTCCCCTTTTTTCCCCATGGATCAGCTCTGGGTTATTTGACAGTTTTGGAGGCATTTTACTGCCTTGTCTTCTCACGTTTCTATTGCTTTTGTTTGTTTTGTTCTTTGTTTTGAAGTTTGCAGGTTGATTATGATGGAAAGACTTTGCTGCTAGTACGGAGTCTTTTTAGTCAGTGTGCAGACATCTCTTCAACATACTGATTTCATTTCTTTTGGACATAGATATCCAGTTGTGGGATTGCTGGATCACAGTAGTCTGTTTCTTTTTACTTTTTTTAAGGAAACTTCTTTTTTGTGTGACTATATTAATTTACATTCACACCAACTGGGTGCAGTGTGTCCTGTTCTCTACGTCCTCAAAGGCACTCGTTATCTCTAGTGTTTTTGAAGATAGCCATGAATCAAATGCTATCTCACTGAGGTTTTAATTTGCATATCCTTGATGACTAGTGATGTTGACCATTTTTTCGTACACTTGTTGGCCATCTGTATATCTTCCTTTGAAAATATCTATTTGGATCTTTTGCTTTTTTTTTTAGTTGAGTTATTTTGAGGTTTTTATATATTGAGTTGTTTTTTATACATTATAATTATTAGCCTCTTGCCAGATATATAGTTTGCAAATATTTTCCTCTATTTTTAGGAAGTCTCTTTACTCTATTGATTTTAGTTCTTTATTGACAATTTTCCACATTTATTTTGACATAACCCCATCTGTCTATATTTGCTTTTGTTTCCTGTGCTTTGGAAGCCTTATCCAAAATACGACTGCCCTATCTATGTCTTATATAGTTTTCCCTATGGTTTCTTCTAGCAGATTCATAGTTTGAGGTTTCACTTTAAGGTCTTGAATCCATTTTGAGTTGGTTTTTTTTTTTTTGATAAGGTGAGACATAGCATCTAGTTTTATTCTTCTGCATGTGGATATCCCATTTTCACAGCACCATTCATGGAAGATGCTTTCTTTATGCAATGTGTATTCTTAACATCTTTGTTAAAGATCAGTTGGCTAAAGATGCATCAGTTTAACTTCTATATTCTCTATTATGTCCTCTTGTTCTGTATGGGTTTGTTTTGGGTTTTTTGGTTTTGATTTTTGTGTTTTGTTTTGTTTTGTTTTTCTCGGTACCGGGGACAGAACTCAGGACTTGGTGCTTTCGAGGCAGGCGTGTTGCCACTGACCTAAATCCCCAGCTTCTGTGTGTCTGTTTTTATGCCATCAACATTGCTATTTTTATTTTTATAGCTTTGTAGTATGTTTTGAAGTCAGATAGTGAAATTCCTCCTGTTTTGTTCTTTTTGCTCAATGCCTTGGCTATTTGGCTGTTTTGAGTATGCCTATTTGTTCTTGTGGCCCCATATGAACTTTAAGTTTTTCTATATCTATGAAGAATGTCATTGGTATTTTGATAAGGATAGCATTGATTCTCCAAAGCCTTTGGGCTTTTCTTTTTCCTTTGGTACTGGGGATTAGACCTAGGGTGCTCTACGACTGGGCTACATGGTCTTTATTTTTTATTTTGAGACATGATGTCACTAAGTTGCTCGCTTCACTTGGACATTTTGGCAGTAACGAATTTTCTAATCCATGAATGGATTAGAATCTTTCTGTGTTTGGGAGGGCTCTGAAATTTCTTTAATCAATATATTATAGTTTTCATTGTAGAGCTCTTTCGCTTTTCTGGTTAAATTTATTCCTAGATATTTAAATTTTGTGTAGCTATTATAAATGACAGCACTTTCTTGATTTGCTTCATATAAGTCACTATTGGTGTGTAACTATTTGTGTATAAGAATGCTACTCATTTTTGTGTGTTGACTTTGTTGAATGTATTAGTTCTAACAGGTTTTAGTGGACTCTTTCGGGTTTTCCGAATATAAGATCATGTCATCCTCAGTGATAATGTGACTTCTTTCCAATTTGGATGCCCTATAATTTTTTTTCCTCTTAATTTCTCTGGCTAGGATTTAGTACTGTGTTGAGTAAAAGTGGTGAAAGCTGGGCTGAGGATTTAGCTCAGTGGTTTCGCCGCCTGCTGTGCAAGCGCAAGGAGCAGAGTTCGATCCCCGGTACCAAAAACAAACAAACAAAAAAAAAGGGGTGAAAGTTGGCATCATTGTCATGTTCCAGAGTTTAGAGTGAAAGCTTTCAGCTTCTCCCCATTCAGCATGAAGTTAGCTACTGGCTATTATAAATGGCCATTATTATGTTGAGGGACATTCACTCTATCCCTAGTCTATTCGGTCTTTTCATCACGAAGGGGTGTTAGATTTGGTCAAACGCCTTTTCTGCATCTGCTAAGATGATGGTATGTTTCTGACCTTCAGTCTGTTGATGTACTGTTCATGTGTATTGGTTTGCATATTTGGAACCATCCTTGCTTCATCCTTAGGATGATCACAGTGAATAATCTTTTTTTTTTTTTTGGTACCAGGGATCAAACTTGGGACATTGTGCTTCTGAGGCAGGCACCAGAACCACTGAGCTAAATCCCCGGCCCCAGTGAATAATCTTTTAAATATGGTTTTGTATTTAGTTTGCTTCTTCTTTGCAGACTTCCACCTGCCAACTGCTGTATTTCATTCAGGCCTCTCCGCAAATGTCACCCTTCAGAAAGCCATCCTGGCTCTCCCCTAAAAGAGCAGCCACTGTCAGTCTCCCTCTCTTTACTTTATACTATTTTTCTTATAGTATCTCTTACTTCCCACTTGACATTTTATATCTACTTACTTGTTGTCTGCCTTTCCCATAGAAAAATAAGATCCATAAGGACAGGAAATTTGTCTTGCTTGTTCACTGCTATATCCCTAGGACCTCAACTAGTGCCTGGCAATTAAAAGGTACTGATAAATTTTTAATAAATGAATAAACAGATATGGATATGCATATAGATAGATACAGATGATCTGCAGATGGATGATCTAGAGATACATGATATAGAGAGAGAGAGAAGAAAGCGATATCAGGATCACCAGCAAGCCAGGCAGACTTTACCTGTGGCTGTCTCCATAGGGTGATGAGAAAAGTGACAAAATGATGATGCTGATGTTCCACTAGAGAAAACGCAGCCTTTTTGCATGAGGCTTGCCTCCCGAAGAGATGGAAGCCTCTGTCAGGTAAGAAAAAAAATTTTTTTTCACAAAATTAGGACTAAAGAATATGAAGTCCAAGTCACCAGTGGGGAAACCAAACCAAAAGAGGGGGGTGTGGTCACACCCACAATAGCAGAGGGCTTTTTATTTTACAGAGCATCTTCACATCCTTTTTTCTCATTTACCCCTCACAATGACTGCTAGACAAATGGTGGTAAACTGGTAGTGTTACAACTATATTTCCATATAATCATTAGCCTCCTGGATTTGTGCGCTAAGTGACAAGTTGAGATGGGGTGTAGCTCAGTTCTAGAACGCTTGCCTAGTATGTGTAAAGGCTTTGGGTTTGATCCCCAGCACCACACACACACACAAGATAAAAAGATAAATTTTGCATTATGTGTATTTTAACACAATTTAAAAACACTTATTAGCCAAAACTCCAGTTTGCAGTAAAGCCCAAAGAGGCTATGACTTGTAAAAATCACACGGCTAGGGCAACACTGGAATTTGGAAGGTCAGAACTCGACACTGGAACTTCTGAGCCCAGCTCTGCACCTCCTGCACAAGGGAAAGAGAACCCTTGGGGCAAAAAGAATTTTCTCAACACAACACACAAAGCCCCGGCCAGAAGCTAAAGCTTGGTGCCTTGGGTTCTCCTGGGGCCTTGCGATGTGCTAACCCAGCGGCTGCTCTTGCAGTTCAGCTGCAGAAGTCAGCTTCTTCCGTGATGTCATGAGGAAGGGCGGCCGATCCAACAGAGGACAATTCAATACAGACTGCGTGTCACCGATTCTCATTGTGTGACAATTAATTTGCTTGGGGACCAAGTGTGTGCAATGTTTTCATTAACATGCAAAGTAAGATAAACATTTATGCATCTTTTACCCGCTGATTTCTGTAGGGATAATTCCTGTCAGTGTCTGCAAAAGATATTTCCATTGACAGTGCTTATCTCCTCCACTTGAAATTGCACTTGAGAAACAAGAACAAACACAAAACAGTATTTTTATAGAGGAACAGTGACTAACAGGGGCCAGATATTAAAGAAAAGCTGTCTGTGGCCATATCGCCCCAAACGAACCCAGTCTTGCCTGATCTCAGCAGAGAAGTATCTGGCCAGAGGTTCTGGGCCACACTAGTTCAGGGTACCAAGTGATGAAGAGCCGGGCTTGAGTGTGTAGGCGCTCTACAAAGGCTTCTCAGAAGAGCCATCTGAGTGTCTTGATGTCTGTTTAATACACGGCACTGTCCCCGGGATGGGCCACCTCTGCTCTAATGCCCCCATCACTGTGTTGAGGCAGAACCTGAGACCTAATTATCCATGTTACAGTCACAGGTGGAGCACATTTAGATGACACTTCTCTCTTTCATATGGGCTGCCTGGTCTTACTGCAGTTCCAGGCCTACAAGTACCTAAAGGTAAACTTTGTTATCAAAGTCCCGTTTGAATCTTAGAGCCATCACTTAGCACCTGTATGACCTTGAAGAAATTACCTGATCTTCCTGATGCGTGTGCTCATCTCAAAAAGAGAAAGGATAATAATATTGCCAACTTTACATGACTGTTATGTGAATGAAATGAGGTGATGGGCATGTGTAAAGCACTGAGCACAGTGCCTGACAGCATTATAGGCTCAATAAATTGGCCTATATATAGAATAAACACCCCAGTGCCTAATGTGATGTTAATCACACAACATGCTCTATAAATATTTAGCAGTGATTATCCCAGTGCCATGAGAGTAACCAATTCCTTTGTTGTTTTTTGCTGTATTTTGTCCAATAGCCATTTATATTTATTGAGCATGTACTATGTGCTGGGCCCTGTCTCAAGTATTGTGTGTGTGCTAACTTGCGTAATCTTTATACCCTCAGCAATTCCAGCAGTTGGGGAGAGCAGGACTGGGCACCAGGTTGACTGGCTCCCACAGGCCTGCCCTTTGACCACCATCCTTGCCAAGAAGCAATTTTATTTCTTTGTCTTCAGAAAAACAAAATGTTATTTTAAAAACAACTTAAGATTCCAAATCCCTATTTGTTAAATAACTATCAACTCCCATCTGAACTGCTAAGAACCTAGAAATATTAAGACACTGACACTTCCTTCAATTCTGACAAAAAAAATTTGCATGGACAGCAGAAGTGTAAGGTGCTGGTAAAGATGCTATCGGAAATAGAATAAATAGGAGAAATGGAAAAACTGCACTTTAAAACTGCAATTTTTGTTACAAAAAAGGGAAAACAAACCAAATGCTTTCCATTCATTCCAAAGATCATCAAAACTGTTTGACTTCCGCCACTCCTGGGCACTGTGAATCACTATTCATTTCAGGCTTACCATGTGCGCAGTCACTATGCTAAAATCTTCACCTACACTGTCTCATTCAGTCCTCTTAACAAACCAATGAAATGGGTACAATTCAAATCCCTACTCTGCAAATGAGGAAACCAAAGCCTTCGAAGGGGAACGATTTTCTGGGGGCTTCCAGCAGGTAAGCCTATTTAAACTATGTGACACGTGGCTGGTGCAGGCAATGATTCCATTTTCCTTTTCTTCCTGTGTCCTGAAAATCAGCACACCTGATTAGTACTTGAAACATTCCTGGTGGGGTGAATACCAACTTTTTAATACACTCCCATTGCTAAATATCAGTGCATCTGGAAGACACAAAACTTTAAATGCAGACACTTACAGAGCCACTGAGTTCTGGAGAATTCCACTCTCTGAATTTATGGACCTCTTTTTACATCTTCTAGGAGCACATCTTTCCCCAAGTTTAGCATTTGGAGATGGGCCTGAGGTGGAGGGAAACGGATCACGCTGCTCTTGCTTGCTAATTCTCAATTCCAACATGTTCTATTACACCTGATTTACAGCCTGACAGGGCTCATTCCAGTCCACAACCTTGCGCTGGTAAAATGCACAGGGGAGAATTTATTAGCGATGTACTCGTCTTAATGCACTGTAGGGAATTTTTTAAGTGAAAAAAGGCTCAAGAAGCAGGGCATTTTCAAAGAGCCAATTATGAATAACAATCGTTTGATGGCCAAGCGCAGTAGATCTTCCAGCTCATTCGGTTTTCATCTAATTAAATCTTTCATTTCCACAGGCAGCTTGCCGTGAGCGCTTGTGTTTGCCTTTGTCGGCCAGAAATAATCAATAGGCGAAATGTGGGCGCATTTCAGCATTTATTAGCTACTCAATTGGAAGTTGTTTTATTTTAAAAACATCTTTGCCTTTGTTCTGTTCTGGGTAAATCGACAGCTTTGGAGAATAATAAATGACAGAACACTAGTTTATATTATCCCATTAGGAGCAAAGAAATCGGGGATGAAAGTGAGCTCAGAGAGAAATTGAAAAACACTTTAAAACTGCAATTTTTGTTACAAAAAAGGGAAAACAAGCCAAATGCCTTCCATTCATTCCAAAGATCATCAAAACTATTTGACTTCCGCCAGATAATACCTTCCAAAAAGATGACAATAAGCTTACCTCTTTCCGAAGTTTTCCGCTTTTATTTGCAGCTCATATTTAGTTCTTCGTTAATTTCCAGTGAAGCCACTACATGGATTAGGAAGGGAAAAGCAGGTGCACCTGCTTCAGTGAACTTGAAGCCCAAGTGTTCCCATCTTACGTAGCAGGAACACTGGTAAGAGGAGGAAACCGTAAGAACAAAATGGAGGTCTACCATGGTGGCTGATTGCGGACAATCATGGCTGCATGATTGCGGACATCCTATTGGCCACACCTTGGCCAATAGGATTCAAGCTGATCAGAGGGCCTCCCTATGAAATCCTGACTAGTAGAGCCAGACATGATTCTCCACTTCTATGAATCATATGAAGAAGCCAAAGGAAACCTAACCGAGAATGGTGATTGCCAGAAGCTAAGGGTGAGCGGGGATGGGAATTTAGGGTTTCCAACCGGAACAGAGTTTCAGTTTGGTAAGAATGAAGATGTGTTATGTACACGTACAAACTCCCCGCGATAACTGTAATCATTATGTACTGCAAACGTGGACTAAAAAATTTTACATTAACTTACATTAATAAAAAATAAAAATAATTAAAATTAACCAGGAAAAAAAATATTCTGGAGATGGATGGTGATGCTGATTGAATAACAAATGCAGTAGAGATATACACTTAGGAAAGGTTAAAATGATAAGTTTAACACTATGTCTATTTTACCACAATTTAAAAAATCGGGATATTTTAAGACCCAAATCTAGTTGTCCTCTGCTTCGCACCTAAACGTACTGCATAACCATTCACTCCATGGCTCAAAGCAGAGACCTGGGAACCTGCCGCATCCCTCTCGACCCCAGCCACCCCAGTCCATTCTACTCCCTCAGTGACTGTCCAGGAAGTCTGCATCCTGTCACTGCCAGCATTCTCCTAGGTCCGCGTGACTTTCTTCTCTTAACTGAATTTGGGTTTTGGTTTCATTTTATTTTCTTTTGTGGTACTGGGGATGGAACCCGGGGGGGGGGGGTCTCTATCACTGAGCTGCATCCCCAGCCCTTTTTTCTTTTCTACTTTTGAGACCAAGTCTCGATAAGCTGCCAAAGCAGGACTCAAACTTATGACCCTCCAGCCTCAGCCTCCCTCTGTGCTGGGATTACAGGTGAGCACTATTGCGCCCAGCTCATACCTGAATTCATAAATAACCTCTTACCTGGTTTTTCTGCAACTGCTCAGGCCCTGCTCCCCACAGGGTGTTCCCGTCAGCAACTAGAAACTGTGTGCATGGTGGCCACGCCTTTAATCCCAGCACTCGGGAGGCTGAGGAAGGAGGATCGCCACAAGTTCAAAGCCAGCGTGGTCTACACAGCGAGTTCAAGGCCAGCCTGAACTGCATATCAAGACCCTGTCTCAAAAAAACAAAACAAAACAAAAACCAACAGCAACCAGATAGCGCTTTTATGGATAGAACCTGGGTGTTGCCACTCCCTGGTTTCAAAGCTTCACATTACACTGGAATGAAACCTGGACGCCATTCCCAGGCTCCCTGACCTATTCATCCAGTGTCACCCTGTCCCTCACTCCGTACCTCCACCCCTCTCTACACTCTACTTTCGTTAGTTTCTCAAAAGAACAGGTTTCGTGCTCATCTGGGCCCTTGTTTATAGTAATATCTCTGCCTAGAACATTCTCCCCTCATCAGTCACCCAGCCAAACCCTCCTTTCACTTCAGTCCTCAGCAGAAGTGGAATTCTTCCACAGCGTCCCTCTGGGATGCCACACTGCTGACAGAGTCCTTCTGCTGTCCTCCCAAGCACTCTTACTTCCCTCCATGACACTTGCTTGCTTCTGTATTAGTAGATTCCTTCCTACCCTGTCTGATCCTTGAGGTCAATAACCACATCTCCCTTGATTAATATCCCCAGCACCCAATACAATATCTGGGACATAGTAGGCCCTCAGTAAACATCTGTTGGATGAATGAACAAATAAAGGTCTGCACACTTGTTTAGGTTACCCAAACGTAAAACCTGCCTTTCACTCAGCTTCTTCCTCCTGCTTTCTTAGACACCTGGCCAGGCCTCCGCACAGTCACCTGGAGCCACTCGGTGGACACTAGGCTCTGTTCTGTCTGCCTGCTCACAGCGCCCTGACGGTGGGCACGGACACTCAAAGGAAGGCCCCCTTACAAAAGGGTCTCCCCCTCCCTAAGATGGGCAGCAAAGGGCTACTCACCAAAGACACGGTAACTGCTGGCTTCCTGCCCTGAGATAAGCCACACACCACCACTCCTTTGCCTTGGTTTTCCATGCAGTCTTCTGTACCGGTGAACAGATTCCCAGGGACAGCACATGATCGCCACGGGGCCGGAGTCCGAAGTGAGCCCCGGGGTCGCGGCGCTGCGCCTGACTCAGCAGTGCTGTCACACAGTGGGCGCTGGCAGCTCTCTGCCCTCTCCCGAGCCATCTCCGCTCACTCGAGGAGCGCCCGGCAAACCGGTGCTACAGTGGGGATTACTGCTCTTGTGGACCGTCCTTTATTCTTGTTTAATTAGTAATTATCTTAAATTACATGGCTGCTACGATGGGTACTTCCTGGCCGTCCGTGATTAATTCTCCGTCAATGCAGAAACATGAGCTATTCTGGGCTGGGCCGTGAGAGGCTGGGGTGATGGACGCCACTCCGCGCCCTACGGTGTAGTCTGAGCCTAGTGTCCTCCCACAGTGGTTTTACTTCCGTTACCATTAAAGACAAATCTGTCAGAAGGCTTCTCCCTAGACACAGCTCCCACACCGCCACTCCCGTGAGCGTCTGAGAGAGGAAGCCCAGCAGTCCCGCAGCACTTATGCTGGTAGCGCCTTTCCTGTCCCCCTCAAGGGTACTCACGTTTACGGCTAATATTTAAACGGCCATAAATGCATGCCTGATCTGTTGGGACTGATGCTTACCAACTCTGGTTAAAACCTGGGGTGAAATCTCAAATGTGCCTGAGCAAACACAGGGTAGACACATGAAGAAAGCTGGGTACCTTCCTGTTTTCACATTTGAAACATTTAGAAGTGGTTGTGTCTTCTTAATAAATACACTGTTTTCAAATTGTTGAATCCAGGGAGAGAATAAGATGAACCTGGAGCATCTTTTGGGGTCATAAAGGAAGGAAGAGATCAAACAATGATGAGGAAGGGTCAAGAGGACACTGGAGCCAACATGAACTGGCTCCCACCGGCCACACTGGAAACTTCTGAGCATTAAAACAAATGACAGTAGCATATCATAGTCCATCAAATAAAGACCCATGAATGCATGCTGTTAGATATCAATTAATAAATGAAGAGAAAACTTTTCTTTATTAAAAAAAAAGACACTAATAGATGCAGAAGGAATGAGAGCATTGGGAAATCACCATTTGGCCATGATTAGAGTGGTAATTAAATCAGTCAAGAAGCATCACATCGATAGATGCTAGAACTCCAGCAAGTGAAAGGCTGATGTGGAGAGAGACTTTTACAGTCTCAAAGTATCTCCCCACACAATATTTGGTAATGACAAAAAGAATAACGAGCAACAATACAGTAGAGACACCTGCCAGATGCCAGCCCAGTAAGTGATCAAACTTAAGAACACCAAGAACCAGTCATCAGGAGCTGCCCAGTGGCAGGGACTGAAGCAATTAACAAACAAGCCAGCAAACAACACGGCCAGCAGCTATGACATCCCCCTGAACGTGCATAAGGCAGCTCTAACGGTGAGGAGACAGGACAAGACCACGGGAAGGAGGATCTACGAAAGTCTTCACCCATGCTCGGGCTTGCCAGTATTCCCAAATAACGACCATGTGCCAACACTGTGCCATGAGAGTTAACTCCTCCCTCACAACAACCTGTCCCGGAGGCTCCAGTGCTGTCTCCGCTTAGCAAGGAGAAGCCTGAGGCGCAAAGCAGCAAAATAACTCACCCAGGGTCACCCAGGTAGTGAGTGGCAGAGGCAGAATTTGAACACAGATTTAACTCCAAAGCCTAACTTCCTTTAAAAGAAATAAACTTGTGGCAAAATACAGATAATATAAAATTCATCACATTAGCCATTTTGAAGTGGGTAGTTCTGGGGTATCGGGTACATTCACATTGGAGCTCCAGGGGCACAATCAGTGGGTTACATGGTTCTATATCACTCCCCTTCCTCTTCAGAATTTTCTAACCTTCCCCATCCAAACTCTGTATCTGTTAAACAGTCCCCGACTAGTTCTCTTCCCTGAAGTCCCTGGCATCCACTATTCTGTCTCTATCACTCTGATGCCTCCAGGTATCTCAATTAAATGGAATCACACCAAATTTGTCTTTTGAGACCAGTTAATTCATTTAGTGTAATGTTTTTAAAGTTCATCCATGTTGTAGCATGTCAGAATCTCTTCCTTTTTCAAAGCTGCATGATATTCCCCTGCCTATTTCTACCACATTTTATTTATCCATTCATCCATTGATGGACTCAGGTCATTTTTCCTTCTGGCTATTATGAAGAATGTGGCTGTCAATGTGGCTGTGCAAATATATGTCTGAGTTCTGCTTTCATTTCTTTGGGACATCTGCTCAGAAGTGGGATTTCTGAGTCATGTGGTAACTCTGTAATTTTTTTTTTTTTTTTTAGGAACTTCAATATTGTTTTTCATGGTGGCTGCACCATTTTACTGTTCCCACCAATGCATCAGAGCTCCAACTTCTTCACACCTCGATGACACTGTTATTACCCCTTTTCTTCAGCATGGGGATTGAGCTCAGGGCCCTTGCACTGAGCTACATCCTCAGCCCTCTTATACTTTTTATTTTGAGACAGGGCCTCTCTGAGCTGCCCAGGCTGGGGTCCAACCTGTGGTCCTCCTGTCTCAACCTCCCAGAGTGCTGGGGTTACAGTATATGTGAAAATTTCATGAATTTTTATTTTTACCAGAGTAATAAATACTAGCTTTAAAAATCAGGTGGTGCTAAGAGTTGACAGAGAAAGCAGAAGCACCCATCCCCACTCCCCTCATTCCTGGTGTCCCTCATACTGAGGCCAGGCATCAGATACCATTCTTCCTTGTACTTCGATTTTTCTTAGAATAATGCAAAAAGAGAGCTATTTCCTATACCCATACTGCTATCAAAATTAAAACATATAAAGAGGCTGTCCATTTCAAGAAATATGAAGAGACTGTTTGCCGAACAGTATTTTTGAAAAAGTCTGAAACTTATGAGCTGAGGACCAGTGCAGAGCTCTGGCATGTTCTCCACTGAGACCCTGCTGACGTTTCTCCTGCTGTTCCACTGATGCTCCTGGGGATCAGTGGGCCGGGGAT